AGACAGTGAGAAATTAACTGACTTGTTGGACTGGTACGCCCACTTGTACTTTATGTAAAGCCTGCGTGTTTATGTGTAGCTGTCAGGCTGAGGTGTAGTCCAACCTTAATCCCCAACGACCTCAGGATGGGTTAAGAGTCAGAGCAGATTAAAGTCCACAGTCTGCACACCATCAAAATACACTGGATGCTGTTTTTTAGGTGGACCTCCTTTAGCCGCACACGAACAGGAGCAGGGACTCACATGCAATTAGCTGTTTGAACTCTTCAACTTCCAGTACACAAGGTTAACAGAGTCCTACTTCTGTGCCAGCTAAAGTGCTGATGAAATCACCTATCAAATGATTCCCCCTAGATACATAGCTTCACATCGCCACATGCGGATGCTTATATTTTGATGAGTCACTGGGCCTGTGCTGAGCGCATTGCACATTCAGTCTCTTTTATGAGCATGAATAGGCACTATTCAAGGTGTTTTTGGAATGTTTGGGTTTTTTTGTAGTTATTCAGATATACGCCAGGGCTTATATTTAGCTCGTGTCTTCCTGGAGTCAGAAGGTTTAAAATTAGGAGGTGTCAGAATTCCAGCACAATTCTTAAGTTACTGTCAATAAACGGTAAGGGGCTGCTCTTAAAGGCGTAGCGTGCTGGCAAGGGTGAATTATAGCACGATATAGGTGTAATAAAGTGCTTGGGAAAGTGTGTATGGATTTGTCATAATATAGTGTATAAGTGTAAATCTGCTACATACATGCACATACATGCACAGTTACACATCTACACATCTCAAGATTCCTGAGTCTTTGCTCTGTGTGTGTTGTGCATCGGTGTGGGTTTGTGCGTCCATCTCCACATTAGTGTTTGTAGGATCTGTTGACAGCAAAGCATGCAGCATTTTATTTGCTCAAGGGCTGAAAAAACACATGGCGTTAGCAAGGGAGTGCTGTGATTTGAGCCTGCTGAAAGCAGCCTGGCCAGCCAGAATTCAACCACGGTTCAGCTGCACATATTAATACACTGTATGAAAACACACAAGATTAATCAGTGTGCATGTATAAATGCATATTTTACTGCCATGCAGATGGGCTTTAAGGTTTAGATAGATAGATAGATAGATAGATAGATAGATAGATAGATAGATAGATAGATAGATAGATAGATAGATAGATAGATAGATAGATAGATAGATAG